ATTGATTGGTGTAACTAATGATATAAACTTCAGTGAAATGGTTATAACAAAACATAATGCCACATATAGTTTTGCATTTCATGCCATAATTTCACATACCTGAGTTGCAAATATAATCCCAAATACATATTTTACTATCAGCCGGTATCTTCGCCAAATGTAAAAAGAAAACACGTGCATACTGTCTTACAAATCGCATGCTTTTGGTCTACTCCTTCCAATTAGCAGGTCAATATTTTGTATTATTGAATGTAATACTATTTTCAACATAAATAGAATAACCAGAATAATAATTACCCATGATTATTGTACATGGAAATGTCAAATATAGGACTCCCATTATGATTATATTAGCAATCAAAATACTCTATGTCAGATATATCTCATCAAAATACATATAAATAATGCTCATTGGATATATCAGACAAAACAATACAAGTCTGAAGTTTTTCTTCCAAAGCTAAACAAATATTGTGATCATATCTATCTGTTGGTAAACAGTTGAATGGCCTGGAACAAACCCAGATTGAAATTTGTATAAAAGATTATTACTTATAACATAATTATGTAGACGTTTATGAACGACCCTTTCAAAAACTTTACTCACAGTACTAAGAAGTGAAATTGGTCTATAATTTGATGAAACAAAACGTTCGCGCTTTTTTAATAATGGCATTACTACTGCTTATTTCCTTTGATTTGGAAACTTACACTCGGAAAATGACATATTAAATATTATTTGAAGCGGTACACAAACAGTTGTAGCAGTAATTTTTAGCATTTCGTGTGTAATCTTATCATTTCCGGGTGCTTTATTAGACTTTATGGTTAAAAGAATATTTTTTTACTTCTTTTTGCGAAAAAATATTGTTTCAACATTATTTTGACATCTAGATGGAAAGTGGTTCATAAGTAATATTGGATATAGAACAAAAAATTGTGTTCAGTAAATCTGCCTTCTTTTTATCATTAAACACAAGTTCGGCGTGTTCGTTATCATAAATTGAAGGGATAGATTTGGACAAACCAGTTTTACCAATAGGTCGGTGCATTAATCGCCAATATGAGTTTGAGTCGTTTAAATTAGAATTGTCATTCAGACAATTTATATTTACATAAAAAGATAATTTAGCATATTGTTTCATGTTGTTAACTTTATTTCTCTGCCTTTTAAACTTTAATATATCATTCGGACGGTTATGTTTTCGAGCTTCTTTATGAAATCTGTCCCTTTTTCTTATTGCCTTACGTAAGTCGGAGGTAAACCAGGTATTATCGTTTTTCCTCACTGCAACTTGGTTCTTTGGAATACAAAGTTTGGCTAAGTTTAAAAAAAAGTTGATGTAAAAAGCTCACAAGCTGCATCTACTGTGTGGTAGTTGATCCCTCCATGGATAATCTCTAATTTTTCAGGCAACATTCCAGAAAAAAATAGGGTTGGTCACTAAGCAGACAATTTTTTTTTCTTCTTAATTTTCATGGATCAATATATACTTACAGGGTAATAACAAATGTAAGAAAAATAAATTTCTATGCATTTCAATTGTTATTATTCTGTCAAGAATGTGGTCAGGATCCGATGACCATAACAGTGCATGTAATCTTGATGCCGGACTACTAAAATGATCGTCATGGATACAAAGTAGGTGATATAATGTTCCCTAAGGTCCGCAGGAAACATTTAAAGTAGGTCATGATCAGGTTATCCGAAGCATATGTAAATCTTGTTTTTGGCCTTACTGTAGTTTATGTGGGGAAACAACACTTTTGGGTACAAATTCAAAGTTGGTTGGAATGACTAAATTTTGATGGTAAGAAAATTAAGAACCTGGCCCTTCCCTAGGGCCTGAAGAGAGGGGCCAGATCCAGATATGCTAGAATCAAACTCTTCATGGATGGAAAGGTCTTAAGTCGCTATATCTGAAATTGTTATTTCATTACCCCCTTGTCGTTCATTCCTCCACTATATCATTTTTTTCTGAAAATTGTCAGCAATATATATATACCGTATGTCAGACAATTATGTACCGCCAAAAATGATATATCAATAATATATGTTGGTCACTTCCAACATGAATTTCTCTCAAGGAATTCATAAAGCTTTTTTTGGATTAAATGAACTTTTGTTCTGTTTTTGTTTGATTTTTACATCACTACAACAAATAACATAATTGTATTACAACTCAGGTCCATGTATCTGTTGTATAACTTGGTGAGATCACTGTTGTATATTTATCATTTCTGTGTTGTAATTGCAACGGTCCTGTTTATATCTATCGCAGCATCTGGCTTCTGAAGATACTGGTACAGTGGTATCATGCTTTAAGTTCAAAATTCGTTCACGATATAATGCTTTCTTACATTACTGCGATGTAAATGATTAAATTGTTTTATTCATTTGGTTATTCAAAAGGAATGGATATTGCAGCCATTGCTTCTCCAATATTGGAATATTGAGAAATTGAATGCTGGTTTAGAGTTACAAAATGGAAACCATAATGATATATAATTATTTAATATTGATTTAGAATCATCTTTCATAACTACTTAATACTGATTTTGAATCAAATTTGAGCTAATTTGATTGTGTTTGCATGTCACCTATAGACCAGATAAAGCTTGTAAATGAGAGATGTTGTTACATCATCAGTTCTTTATTGTTTGTCTGTGTGTACTTAGAAATTACCATGCTCTTTGCAGTTTATGAAAAGATGAATACACTCGTACTAGCTGTGATTGCTCCCAGGGTTCTGTCACTCCTGCATGGTGACCTTATAACATTGAAATGGTTGCAATCAGTGTCCTATAATTAAAACACCTACTGGCAATCCATAGACAACTACCAAAGTTCTCCGCGGGTCTGTTACCACCCAGGAATACAATCATGCTAGCCCCCTTCAAGGGGTTATACATGGCCGAGATATACAACATAATAACTAGTGAACCATAGTTTGAAGGTTGTTTCGAAAAAACAAAAACCAGCGCAACCTATGTTTCAAAGTAAACATTGATATTTTTTAATAGCCTGAGGCATTGGGCTTGGTAATTTAGGCAAACATGTAGATTTTCATGAACTGACCTCACTGACCTCACTGTGTCCTATGTGATTTGACAATTGACTTTAATTTTTGAAAAAAGTTGGACTGGGGCATATCTTCTTTACTATTTCACCTGGAGTATCCGCTTTCCAGATTTAGTGTACAAGGACATCTTTGGATGGCAGAGTGAAGAGTGCAAGATTTAGGTCACTGTGACGTATGACTTGACCTTTGACCTTTACTTTTAAAAATATTTGTACGGGGCATATGCTTTTTCACCAGGAGTAACCAGATTTGGTAACCAAGGACATCTTGGAATGCCGGATGAAGTAGGTCACTATGAACTCACTGTGACCTATATGCTTCCTGACATAAGTGTACTGTTTGTGCATAGAAATTCTTACCGGTGGCCATGGGGGTCTATATATATGGATAGCCTTGCAATACTTTGCCTTGTAAATAAATATTTTCTATGCACAGTAGATCATATTTCTTTAATTTTGTTTTGAGAAAAAATTGCCCTTAATGAATCAGGCAATATATTGACAAGAGTGTTAAAATAATAGTAAATAAGTGATATAACAACAAAAAGGCCTTCATGGAATATCTGATTGGTTTTCTTAGTTAAAATACATTTTTTTAAACTACCCTTCTTTTCTTTTTCATGGAAGAATATTCAGCGCACGTATGTCCTAAGGAGGGATTATGTTCGTTTTGTTAACCTATTGTAAAGTTCTTAGCTTGGGCGCTGCAGGCGGTGCAGTGCCTATTTCATATTAAAGGAAATGACTTCGGGTGTCCGTATGGCACATTCCATGGTTACAGTGATTTACCATGGTGAGGTTTTACGGTGTATAACGCTTCAAACCGAACACAAAATTAACACTGTAGCCTATGGGAAATGGCGTCGTCTGCATTTGTTTGTCCGACCCGGAGGCGATCTGCGCGAGGGAGATATCACGTGATAAAATCAGCCTGACTGATTGGTCAAGCGTGTCTGCGGTGGATCGGTGTATTCGTCGTCATCTGTTCAATTAATAAAGTGACTTAAAATTACATTCATTTAATTTCTCTAACGACATAATAGTGTCTGTCATTTACACTGACACAAATCCGAGACGAGCAGCGTCTGCAGTGTCACAGATGGCTGACATGGAGGAGATAGTGGAAATGGGACTATTGGAACCCTGTGTGGAAACCAGTCATGCTTCACCAAACAGGGAAGTTTTCAGTCGGAAAATTGAATATATGTTAGCTCTGATTGGCAATACTATCGGGCTAGGGAACGTCTGGAGATTTCCATACCTATGTATGAGGAATGGCGGAGGTTGGTTATGTTTACATACTTGATTTTAAATAAATTATTGTATATAATTGTTATTCCTAATTTAAATATCGCATTTATCTCGAAGTACNTACATAATACATCTACATATCAAATCTATAACATCGGTCAATATCTTAATATCAACCAATCAGGACCCGACCTAACACGGACATTTTGTTAAAAAAAAAATCAACGCAGATGGCAGTAGTTNTGTATAGAAATTCTTACCGGTGGCCATGGGGGTCTATATATATGGATAGCCTTGCAATACTTTGCCTTGTAAATAAATATTTTCTATGCACAGTAGATCATATTTCTTTAATTTTGTTTTGAGAAAAATTTGCCCTAAATGAATCAGGCAATATATTGACAAGAGTGTTAAAATAATAGTAAATAAGTGATATAACAACAAAAAGGCCTTCATGGAATATCTGATTGGTTTTCTTAGTTAAAATACATTTTTTTAAACTACCCTTCTTTTCTTTTTCATGGAAGAATATTCAGCGCACGTATGTCCTAAGGAGGGATTATGTTCGTTTTGTTAACCTATTGTAAAGTTCTTAGCTTGGGCGCTGCAGGCGGTGCAGTGCCTATTTCATATTAAAGGAAATGACTTCGGGTGTCCGTATGGCACATTCCATGGTTACAGTGATTTACCATGGTGAGGTTTTACGGTGTATAACGCTTCAAACCGAACACAAAATTAACACTGTAGCCTATGGGAAATGGCGTCGTCTGCATTTGTTTGTCCGACCCGGAGGCGATCTGCGCGAGGGAGATATCACGTGATAAAATCAGCCTGACTGATTGGTCAAGCGTGTCTGCGGTGGATCGGTGTATTCGTCGTCATCTGTTCAATTAATAAAGTGACTTAAAATTACATTCATTTAATTTCTCTAACGACATAATAGTGTCTGTCATTTACACTGACACAAATCCGAGACGAGCAGCGTCTGCAGTGTCACAGATGGCTGACATGGAGGAGATAGTGGAAATGGGACTATTGGAACCCTGTGTGGAAACCAGTCATGCTTCACCAAACAGGGAAGTTTTCAGTCGGAAAATTGAATATATGTTAGCTCTGATTGGCAATACTATCGGGCTAGGGAACGTCTGGAGATTTCCATACCTATGTATGAGGAATGGCGGAGGTTGGTTATGTTTACATAATTGATTTTAAATAAATTATTGTATATAATTGTTATTTGAATTTAAATATCGCATTTATGTGTGGCCATTTTGTAGTTTATTTAAGCAATGATTGCTTTAGCAAATGTTGTTATGGTCCTATAACACACATTGCTATTGATAACAAACTTAATAAAGTCTTGCAGGGATTTATGGAAGTTTGTCAGCAATATATGTCTGTTATAGGACCATAATAATATTTTCTAAAATATTTATTATCTATATTTGCATTTTGATAGAGTAGTTACGGTTTATTTAGTTATTTCGAACAGTTCTTTGAACACCAATTAAATTGGTACCGTCACAATAGAGAGTGATGCATTATAATAACAAATGTTGATATAGTCTCGTAACATTTGCCTTTTCAATGCATTGCAATGGAAGGATGCAGAGCAAATGCAAATATTTCTACGTAATTTTACTGACATCTGTTCATACATATGTTTTTAAGCGAAGATTTGACGAGCGCGCGTTATCTCGAAGTTTGTTTTTGTTCTATGAAACTTTGTTTCAATATGTCGGATTTCTCTGAAAATTGTTCATTGCTTAATATTTAATGCTGATTGTTGGAACGCGCATTATCTGAAAGCACGTTTTGTTTTCATTTGACATTTTATGTTTACGCATCTAACTTGGACATAGAAAAAGGGCCGTTTTAAGTAGAAGATATCTGATCTATACAGAAAATCCTGTAACTTTGAATTCGTACTTCAGTGTTGCGAACAACTGTGACAAAATGACTTCATGTGATAAGCTACTTTTGTAAAAATAATTAGGAAAGACCAGTAAATTACTTCAGAAAATGTATGTTATTACTGAGTAAGATGGAATGTTGATATTGAGGACGGGCTTGCTAATCAAGTGTGTACTCTTCAGAGTATCTTTACATCTCGCATACAAAGGCGCGTTCTATCTCAGAAATTTGATATATCACAGCTCTGTATTCAGGCTTCCCTTTAAAATTTGTTCAGAATTTTTATGGTGTTGGCGACATCCCTTTGTCAGTACAGTAATCCCTGAACACTGATACAAATGCAGATAGTTTGTAGGTCTTAGGGAAACATGGGGCTCCCAAAAGGGGTACGTAAATGTCCGACTTTTTGGTTAAGGATTTTGATAACCGGTTCGTGGTCTTTCGCTCGAGTAACCGGATAACCGGCTAACCGTTGACAAGCCTACATAATACATCTACATACCAAATCTATAACATCGGTCAATATCTTAATGTCAACCAATCAGGACCCGACCTAACACGGATATTTTGTTTAAAAAAAAAATCAACGCAGATGGCAGTAGTCGTTCGTAGTTACGGCACACTTTTACAAAGGGACATTGGACAATGCAGACATTTCGACTTATCAGAAGCCAGTCTGCAGCGGCCATTTCGCGGAAGATGTTGGCATTTTTCCCCATCTTCAAGAACACGATTAAAATATTCAATTAAACAACATTTATTGTAATCCATAAATCTGAGCAGAAATTGTTATAGCCTGAAATGACTCCGCAAGTGATAGGCCATGATTTAGATCTGTTCGGAAACTTATCATCGAATATCATTAGTGACTACATGTATTATATGTAACTGCAGTACACCTTTACTATGATACTTGTATCCCTCTGTACAACCACGCATGTTTATACATT